CTTGTCCCGGTTGCAGACCAACCTGAATGTTGGCCTTGAGAGTCCTCAGGCTGCACAGCATTGCAGGCCCAAAGCCTCGCAGTGCAGTTTCAAAGCTTACTGTGTGCTCCCAGTCCCTGTCTCCAGTCAGCTTCCTGTAGTTGAGATCGCCTTTAAACAGCACCAGGTCTGCTCCCTGCAGGGTTGTATACAGGTCAGGAGCATCGGCTGCCATGTCGCAGAACTCATGGGGCTGTGTCCAGAAAGGATGATCATGATAGCACCACATTCCCTCTTTCAAGTACCTCTGCCACTGAACACCACATTTGGAAACCCACTTGTGATTGGTTGCCATGGCCTGCCGAATGGTCCACTGAAAATCTTTAGCTGTGACGTCAGAGACAAACCACGGGATGGATTTGCCATGAAAATGAATCTGACGTGCAAGGCCAGAGGAAACCAGGAAGTCGGCTAAGACCAAGTCAGTGACCAACTCGAAGCCAGCATTGTCTAGAACAATGTCCACTCTGTCTGCATTGTTTTTCCCTGACTCCCTTGGCCTCTGCGCAGAAATAAGAGCTGACCATACCCTTTTGGTGTCATCCACCAGGATGAAGGGCAGGAGGCTGTAGAGGGAATCTAGTGGACTGGTCTTCTGGGAGTTCTCTTGGCCAGCAGATATTGACAGATCACACTTGTTTCCCCACAGAGATACCTTAAAAGAGTCACAAAATGTATTCAATAAATAGTAACTGAATACTGTAAAACATAAAATCTCCAAGAACTAATGCACCACATTTATTGCAGTTATGAAGGTCTAATCCCACTGGTATTAGTGGGTTCATTTTAAATTAGGCTACCAATCACAACAAGGATTCACAAGAGGACCATTCATCTCAGGTGTAGCCAGAATCACTCACTTTTAAATACTAAAAAGCAAAGTTTTAAATAAATAAATAAATAATTTAAATAAATACAAATGGAAAATTGAAAAAAAAAGAATAGTAACTTACATACTGAGAATCTTGTAAATGTATAGCTTTAAGGACATAAATTGAACTGACCTGCATTAGTTTGCTGAAATGCTCAAACAGCGGATTCGTAGACAGCTCGTCTATGTTGTTCTTGATGCCCTCCAAGTACGTACACAAGGACATCACAGCCTGTGAAGACTCAGTAAAGCTCTGAGTCTTTCCCTCATTAAAGACATCAAAGTCACTGATGGGAGGACTGAAATAAAAGAAGAAATAAAATCATAACAGAAATCATAACAAAAACTAAACAAACACAATCTAAAAAGAAATGAGAAGGGGAATTGGAGAGCATATCCTCTGCCAAAGATAGAGCTCAGATTTTCAAAGCAACTGATCTGGATTTACACAACAACTAAGTGGATGCTTCCTTGTCTTCTATTGTACCTTTGCATAAGGTTTCATGAAATTCAGTTGTGTTAATTTTTGTCTAACCTGGCTAACAAACAAAGAGATAAATACAAGCCTTGGCAGAGGAACATATTTACTGAAGGTCCACCGGTTGTGAAACTCAAGGTTGATGTTGATGGTCAAAATCATTTATCCACTAACCAATGCCACTGTGTTTTTGTTTTTCTATGCACCACTATATCAGTCAGTACCAAGGTTTTGTCAGTATATAAAAGTATCCCTCAGTAATATACTAAAAGTTATTACAAAATTCCAGGGTTTACATCTACAGTAGCTTCCATTGTAACATATAAATGCTTCTCACTTGAGCAAGAGCGCCTCGTGTATCCTACGGTACATGTAGCACTCCACGTAAAGCCAGGGAGACTTGAACCAGCTGACAGGCTCCTGGTCACCTTGCAGTCTCTGCTGCCTCTCTAGGTATTGGTTCCAGGAATCTGTGTCTGGTAGGCCGTCTGTCAGTGCTAGCACTGGCTTGTCAGTTTGCAGCTCATTCCTCAGCTTAGATAGCAGAGATATAGCTTGCTTCTCTGCCTGGATACCCACCTGGTTGAAAATAAAGGGGAAGCACCGGCAAAATCCAACGCAAGTCTTAACGTGAACCTCATAACTGCCTCAATTGAATGAACGTGGTCTTACCTCTCCGTATTCCTCAAAAAACTTGTTTTTATTGCGATGAATTGTGTCAACAACTTTGGTCAGGATGGTGGGTAGTCTGTCTCTAACGGTCAAATAAGCAAATGACCTGCAGAGAAAACATATAACTAAGAATATCTCCCTTTTATACTGCAGCACTGATTTGCAAGTTAACTAGCTAATAAGCCATCTGTAAGCTTAGCTTTTTCCTTTGTGGAATACAAAAAGTATACTCCCTGGAGTGATATTACCTTCGCATGCTTATCTTTGTTTACCCATAAAATTTCTGGTTTGACCTAAACAACGTCCTGTGCTTGAATATCTACACACCATCACTGCCAACTTACAGCTAGCAGGAAGCTAATGCTATTGCTAGTCTGGACTCTACCGTCCCAACGTTACGAGACCATTTTCATAAAGAAACATAAATCCCCAGGTTATTAAAAATTCTGCGATAAAGTCAAGTAATCAGCTGTCAACCTACCCAACCACTCTGGCAGACAATGAAGGGGGAACTCCGTGCATAGTTTGATCCGTCGCCATGATGTTAGCAGGGGTTCAAATTCAAACTTTATCAATAAAAGCACTGGGACAGCAATAAAGTTTCTTGAATAGCTAGGAGGTTAAAGGTGACGTCTGCTTTTCTGCAGAAGTCACGTGTTGAGATAGGGTGCCCCAGGGTTCACATTTGTAAAAAATACATTTCTTCCCACTTGCGCTTTGTGCTTTTAGTGAGGGACACGATACTACCATCTAACGGTTAACACGTAAACTACAGTGCTGACAACCTGTCAAACTGTTACCGAGACTGCATTTTCAAGTCGTATCAACTGTTTCAGCAATACATATTACCTTAAATATCAAAGGTCTCAAAGCTGGTGTTATCTCAGGTGGCTCTAAGGTTGGTACGCCTGCCGCGTTGCATTGAGCTGCTGAGGTAGCACGCTGAGCATCACTTGTTGTCCAGGGAAACTATTGTCATGGAGACATTCATTCATCCTATTAGAAAAGGCCAAAGGGTTTTTGGCGGCAAAAGGGGAGGAGAAGTGGGCGGGGTTGGGTACTGCGGTTTCCATTGACTTCCTGTTTCTGACCCTTGTCAAATGTGGAAGAATAACAATGCATACAAGTGTCGTTTTTTATGTGTAATATGTTTGCTTATATTAGTAAATATAGAATGTGGGCAAAAGGAGTTATGAATGGGTTATGTTATATATTAATATGTTGTTTCTTCTTCCTTCTTAAAACCTTTACTAAATTCTACATCAATAACAACTAGCTGTGTTTTTCATTAGTTTGCCGGCCAACATGTGAAACAAAAACACGCACATGTAAAACATCGAATCTTTTTTGGCAACTGCTACATTTCCTTTATTTAACCAGGTAAAAAACAAAACGTAATCCTTGCTCTTACAAGATAAAACTTGTTTATTTTTTTTAAAGTTTAAGTCTGAACATGAAACAATTCAACTTAATATTTTTATATGAGATGGCGTAAATGTAAAAATTTATTTTTCAAGACAGATCTGGCCAAGAAGGCAGAGGAAATTGTACAGTTCTATGAGCATACTTTAATGACCAAAAATAACTTGATTGATTATAATGTGCACAGTAACACAGAGTCGGTGTCAAATGCAGAGACTTTATTTTATCTATGTAATATCTATCTAAATCACATTCACTACGGTGTATTTACTAATGTAAATAAAGATACTAACACATGATCACATGGAAAAAATCGGAAATCACTTTTCGGCAGACAAGCATTGACCGAAAAGTTTAGAGAAAAGTTGACCTACTGACACCCTTTTTAACGACTCCTTCATGTATAGCCAAGAAGGTTACGAAAATCAACCAATCAATGATTAACGAAAATGGAAAATGTAATTGGCAAGTAACAGAAGAGCAGTCAAACTAACAGCTAAAGAATACAAAATCTAATACGTTATTTTTTTAGCTTGTGATACACATGACTCTGGTATACCAAAAATAACAGGGTAACATGCACTGTATATGTCGTGTTTGATCAACTCCAGGAAAAAATACAACAAAATAAAACAAACAAAACATGGCAACAGAGTAGGCCTAATGACGTAAATTCGCGGTCGGTCCGTTTTTCTTTCTTTTTTTTGTGGGGTGGGGGGTGGGGGGGATCCGGGCTTCCCCTTTTATGAGAAACATGGCCAACTGACTCTGCTATCACGATTACTGGCCTGGAGAGATGCGCATATCAATTAATTCAGGCGGTGCTTTCCCTTCTCTCAGATCATCCCCGCGGTCACTATGGGAACACGACCGGGCGGTTGTCAGGATGTCGGGGTCCTTGGGAGTGGGAGTCCAGCTGCGTCCACCTCCGCTGTTCATCTATCGCCGGCTTCCCATCCCCCCGCCGGGCCCCAGCCTGGCCGGATCTGTTTTTCTAAACCGAGAGAGCAGTGACTCACCACTCCGGTTTCAAAACAGGCCAAGGACGGGGGCAGGGCGGCAGTTAACGTTAAAGGCCTTGTTCAGCTGGGTGTTTCAGCTCCCCACACGCAGTCACGCCATGCATTACTTAACAGCAGGATTTCGTTTGTGCGACAAGCCCCTATAAACTGCAGGGACAGGCACAAATCTCACCATTCTCGTGTTAAAAGATACGTTACTGCAGCGCAGATGAATTAACCGGTAATAACTGCAAAGAATAAGTTGTTCTGAGAAAATTTAAGACAGATTAAGTCCATATAAACAAACGTGGGAAGGAGTACATTTATCCTAATGACACAGAATAAAGCTTGAATGTATTGATCCTCATTGTAAACAGTAACAGTGATCCAGTGGTTTACAGTTTACTACTACTACATTCAGTACATCCCTGCCGTGCATCTTTCAGTAATCAAATATGCTTTTGTTCTTGACGTCCTCATCCATGTTTTGCTTGTTAAATATTTTGAACCATCCATAAATCTACATTTTTATTAACCGAGTAGCTTAAGTAATGTTATGGCCAAGATTGTTTCTCCTTTTTTTTTTAACAGGACAAAGACTTAAAAGCCCTTATGTCCCACCTAATAGCCATTTTATCCCCTCCTTTGAATAGACTCCACCCAGCCTCCTGCAAAGCAAGCATTTTCAAAGAGCCACAACTTGCTTAGGTTCATCCTCCCTTGTGAACCCTGTGTCCTTAAATGTAGCTCAGTAATGGCAGGCCTTGGAAAAAAAAAGGTGTTTACACTGGGACAACATCCAGCAACTTGCTGATGACAACATCTGATGACAAAATATTGACATGACTCCAAAGTACACTCGTGAAAAGCTCCGCCTATACTTTCTGTGTCTCTGGTTTTGGTTAAAATTCAACTGAAACTACTTCCCCTTCACAAAACTTTTCAGAATAAGACTTCCAACATTTTGAGTTTCCCAATGCATTTGTTTTTTTTTTCTTTTCTTTTTTTTGAGCTCACAAAGTAACAGCTGTAACTTAAAGCCCCCTCCTGAACTCTATACAAATTGATGCATTTTCAGAGTTTTCACATCACATAGTTGTAGGTGGAAAGTGTCTCGCCTATAACACGAGTTTAAGGTGCACACCGGTGAGCATGTCTGGTGACATCACAACCAAACCTGTTCCAAGAAGTAACTCTGCAACATATTTTTTAGCTTGCTTTGCTGGGCAACTTTCACTGATGTAGGGGACATCTTTTTATTGAGGAATTAAACTTTTGAAAATAAAAGAAACAGAAATGTTATAGTTGGTGTCCAAGTGATTGGGTGATACAAAGTTAATGAAATATTAGACCTTAACTGTGTTTGCAACTAGGAATTTACACATATAACACTGCCAAGGCAAGTTACCACTACAGAATACAGAGTACAGCGTTGGTTTCTTTGCTACTATTTGTACTCTTTTACAGATGTGGCAGGAAATTACTTTAGTTCCACAAATAAAAAAGAAGTGACAATAAATAGCCAGAATACTGATAAAATATCTAAATATAACATTACCCAAACATGTGACATGATATAGTCATATAGGAACCAAGTAGTTACCATAAAAAGAGAGTGTAGACTTTTAAGTTGTGTTACAGATCTACTTAACGTGATTCTTGAATTCTGAAATTCTGTTTTGCTGAAAGATAAAGGGATTTGTTTAAGAAACTGGAACCAAAACAGACCAACAGTGATCACAATCAGAATCAGCTTTATCGATCAAGTATATGAAATCAAACAAGGATTTGTGCTGTTCTTTTTTCTCTTTGTTCTCAATGTACTTAACAGAATAGACAAAAAGACAACAGCAACGTAACACAAACAATAACAACGTGTACAGTGTGTTTAGATTTATATTTGCAATGCAATGGTGCAGAGTGCAATAAATTGTGGAACAAATAACAGATGGATCACTAGTTATATATACAGTATATGCATGGAATATTGACAGTATTATGTATAATATAGACATGCACAGCAAAACAATATATACACCATGCTTTAGTTCAGCAGCAGGATTGTGGATGTTTGAGTTATATATAATTCATCATCATACAGTTAGGTTTTCAACTGCAATATAATTATTACTCGATTATAATCTAAACAGGTATATTAAGTATGGTGTCTTCTTCATAAAAGCGACCACTTTTCTTATTCCAAAGAACAATGCAATCTTTTAATAATCAGTGTGAATACATTTAATATTCTTATCTGATTTAAGAAATACTATAAAAATTATTTAAGTGTTAAAGTTGTAAATAAAAATAAACAAATTAGTATTTCTCCCCTAATTATTATTACTGTTAAAAACAAAAGTAAAATCATAATGACCATTTAAACCTAGATATCTTAATTCGTCTTTTGAACCGTTATTTGATGTCTGCAACAGCCCCCGACATGCACGGTTGCGTTAGCCTAGCTTAAGTATCTCTATACTGCCCTTTAACTTGTTGAAAATCTACTTTAACCTTATATGCAAACATGAGACGACTGTGAGTAACGCAGTTTGTAATGTGGCCAAAAAGTCATGGCCAACACACAGAGACACTCACTGCCACAGTTTGGTTTTATGTTTACGTGTCGTTAACGGCAGCGGCACAATTATTAACTCGCAGACTGCGTGGAGCTGCTGGCTGTTTGTGTTCAACCTCTTCGGCCGACTGTCAAAAAAAAAAAGAAAGCTGGCAAGCGGGGGTTGATCTCGCGGCGGTTACACAGTGCGGGAAATTAACGTTAACTCAAACGCCCCCTGCTCAACGGATTTTACAACGGCTGTTTTTGGCTGGCTTTTACCCACAGTCATGTGATTGTAACGTAAAACCCCTAACCGGAAAACACCGACGGACGACCCTCTCTCCGCTGCCAACGAATGCAGCGTTTACAAGGAACAGTTGAAGCTGCTGCGAGCCCAGAGGACGGACGAGTCTCCGGTAACAAACAAACAACGGCGACACGGCAAACTCCGCCAATTTAAGGAGCGCGCAGGTACGGTTGTTTTTAGCGACATACCAGCCAGTTCGTTTACTTGTATTGTAAAATTAGTGCGCTACTCGTGTGTGCTTCGGCTAATACTGTAATTGTCACGGGGAAGTTAAAAGAAACGCGTTCGTGACCAGCCCCATCCCCCTTGCGTCGCTCGCTCTCCTTCCTCGTATGTGTGTGTTGGCCGCGCGCGAGCGCGCACGTCCGTTTTCTCGCGCTAGCAATAGCAACCGAGAGAGACCTGAGGCAGGGGCAGGACTCAGTCCAAGCGCGCTTGTGTTGTACGCTCCGTCTGGGCTTCTTTATGTACTCGACGTATAATTTTCTGTTCTCTGTAATGAAATGCTTTATTTCTGTAGCGTGTTTACCTTCCTCGCATGCTTCCCTCATGGGCACTTGTACGGTGTATTTTTTTTGGAGAATCTCACTACGGAAGTAACTGTTCCACGTGTCTACATCACAGCGGGGGCGGTGCAACATTGTTACGAACAACTTAGTATTGATTAAGACGTACTCTATTGGCTTTCGAGTTGCTCGATTGCGGTTAAATAGTACTGTTATCTTACAAAATCGCGTAAGTGAAGCCCCAAATTAGACTGCTTTAAGAAAACAGGCGGATTCGGAGGCTCACCGCGATTTCTGGTGTTGCAGAAACCCGCAGCATATAGAAATAAATACTTTTGCAGTATCTATCTATCTATCTATCTATCTATCTATCTATCTATCTATCTATCTAAGTGAAAAGGTTATTTATTAAGAAAGAGCAGTCAATTAATGACTGAAGATTCTGATACATTAATGATTTCTGGTTCTCTTGTGGGTTTAGCAGCTATTAAGGACAACATTTGCCTCTGTCGTGTTGCTTTTAGTTTTCCTGTGCTGCTTTGTAAACCGAAAACTAGTGAACATAAAATTAGATATATAACATACATGATGCATGTCACTGTACTCAAAAAGCAACTATGATGTTGTGATAGAGTAGGTACCCAGGATCAGGGCAACTATTAATAAGACCATTCATTGATTGTTAGGTATATAGCAGTGCTGTAAAGAGGACACGCAGCTGTAGCACACCTAGATAAAAATAACCTAGCAGTAAAATCATAAAAATTAGGATGTTCATTTTTTTCTCCATTTATTTTAGAGACATGGTTTGGAGATGATGGCGGTTTGGAATTGTGAGGTATTCTGAATAAAAAGCACAGATCGTCACTGACATAGATGGTGTAATATTGTGAGGTTAGATATTTAAGGTAGTGGGGCCCATCTTTACAGAGAAGAGCAGAAGAAATATAAACTGGAACCACAGATTGTTCTGTACTGTTATTTTTAGCTTGTTAATGTCTAATGTATGATGACCAAATTAGGGCAAAATACTTTTTAAGAAAAGTTATTATTGATTGATTGAGTGATCATTCATTTCACCTGTAATTGACTGTAAGCTGTCTGTTGTGAATGAAGAAAAGTGAGCAATTTAGCATTGGTGGAGGTTGGATTTAGTGCTGAATTGTAATTCTAGCAAGGTGTATCTACCTAGTGTATATTAATATTACACTAGTGACAGAATCAAAGGTGGTCTATATTATGATTTAGTCTTCTGAGCCTTCTGTGCCAGTTTTTATTGCAGAAACTCTAGCATGTTCCTGGTGTGCTGCAATGCCAGCTTCTTTGCACTCTGACCTCTGAAGCAGATGTGCGGAGGGCTTTTGAATGCTTTTTTGTGGTGCTACACATTCTGATCTGTATGAGAAGTTAAGTGGTGAGGTGTCCCTTATTGTCTGCTTGCGTGATGTGGAGAACTGTTGTAGCAAGGAGATCCACATGGTTATCTACTGAACAGGGCTAGAACCAGTTTGTCTTAGGAATGTGTGTCGACACCCATAACCCTGGTCATGTGATCGCCCAAAGCCCTCTCAGGCCTCCGGTGACCTAGGGTCAGCAAAAGCTCATCTCATTGGTTAGGTGAAGCCGCAGAGCTCAGAAATGCTCCTTGAGTTTGAATTCCCAGGACTTACTCAGAACTGAGTGCTTCAAAAAGTTAATTGTACACAGACAAGAGCTGCAGATATAGTATATAACAGTTAGTGCACTTTCACCGTAGGACACAGTTTTTAAAAGAGCTCAAATGTGTTATTCAGACCTGAATATTATATGTGGTTGTCTCCTCCAACTTTTAAAGGCTCAAACATCGTGGAAAACATAACATTAATTTAAAAAGCATGCAATTTCTACCTACCAGGATGTCATTTGAGGCCCTTTGACTAAATTTTTTTGTGTCAATGTTTGTTTGTAGTATGGTGATATAATTTTTAATTTCTCCATTAAATATTCTGAGTGGAAACCTTTTTCAGAATTATGTATTAATTTAAAAAAGGTTTTTGTATATGTTCCTCTCTCACACATCTAGTAGATGAGTTTCCTGTTATAGGAATTTAAATGCAATTTAAAGGTGTATTTTTGTTAAAATATACCTGGATATATATATCCATCACCATAGAAACACAGCCTTTGTTAGACATTTTGCAATTTTCATGATTAGGTTTTGTTGTTTTCTCATCAGCTCAGGGTAGCGTTTTTGAGACTGCCATTAGAAGTCAGTTAGGGACTCTTGAGTACAAAGCTAGTTTGAAAACTTCAAAGGCAGCCAGTCAGTCTGCATAAAATTGATTAAAAGTGTCTGGTCTCTGAAGTTCATTCAGAACAAGAATATTTTTTCCATGCGTCTGATGTTCTGGATGAAATTTAAATAAGAAGCCGACTTGTTTTTCCCACGTCTACCAATGTACAACACTCAATATCCACAGGAGTTCAATACAGTTAGCCAATCAGATTAAGATGTTTGGATTTGCTAAATCATACCTTTGATAAGCATGCGTTTCTGTGAATTATTGCTTGAGAAATGATCTCCAGTGTCACTAAATGATTCTTTATGGTTGCGTCAAGTTAGCCTTTACAGGGTCGTTAGATCTCCACCGTCAGCCTAACTCTTTGTGGTCACAATACACTCTGGTCTGCTTCCAGACAGGAAACTTACTGTCGCTTGTGTCTGTGTGTGTTTTTGTGCGTCTTTGTGCAGGTTGAAGAATGGAGTTGGCCAACCATGGTCTTATCCTGCTGCAGCAGCTTAACGCTCAGAGAGAGTTTGGCTTCCTGTGCGATTGCACCGTGGCTATAGGAGATGTCTTCTTCAAAGCCCACAAAGCTGTCCTCGCTGCCTTCTCCAACTACTTTAGAATGCTCTTCATTCACCAAGACAGGTATAGCGGGAGAGTACTAATAGTTGTATCAGAGAAATAGCTCAGAAGTCCCTCAGTGATGACAATTTGCATTCAAACAGAATAATGCAGATGTAAAATGAAAAAACAACAACAACAAAAAAGTGATAAACAACTTGTTACAGGTTTTTAATTATTCAGACATCAGGAGTCCTCGCTTGAATCTGTTGTCTTTCCTGCTGAAAACTGAAACTTGTTGCAGCATTTTGCTGTTGCTTTTTTTTTTTTTTTTAAATCTCAGGTATCATTTGATGTTAACTGACCATATTCTGTATGTATTTTAGTGACTGTGTGCGTCTTAAGGCTACGGACATACAGCCAGATATCTTCAGCTACCTCCTCAACCTGATGTACACAGGCAAACTTGCCCCACAGCTCATAGACCCTGCACGACTGGAGCAGGGGGTCAGATTCCTGCACGCCTATCCACTCCTGCAGGAGGCAAGCCAGTCTGTGTATTCCCACCCCGAGCAAAGCATCAACCTCTCAACCTCTCTCTATGGCATCCAGATCTCTGACCAACAGGTTGCGCTGTCGGCCAGACTGCCCAGTCGGCAGAATCTCTCTTCACCCTTTGATACCGAGCAGGGGAGCTCAGAAGGAAAGTATCCAGCCACGCCGCCTACTAGTTCATACACAAATTCCTTACCACCAAAGCAAGCTTCCTCACCCCCAGATATGGAGGCTTCAACTAGTGGTGCAAAGCCTATGGTTGAGGACGGGGTAATGGATATCCTAAGTCCGGACGGTTCGTCAGCAGGTGCCATCCTCCATGTAAAGCCCAGCATAATGAAGCGGAGTTCCTCCTTTAGGAAGCATTACTCCTGCCATCTCTGCAGGAGTCGATTTACCCAGAGAAGTTTCCTGCGAGAGCACCTCCTGCAGCACACACAGGCTCTTCAGCAGACCTCGACTGAGCCCAGCAATTCACTCTCACCTGTCATAACTAAAGAGCACGGCTTACCAGCTGAGGGAGTTCTAAAGGGAAACAAGGCTGGGTCAAGTGGCTCGGTTGCACCGACAGCGGTCGAGATCATTAGCGACAGTGAGCAAACCCCTGTTTCAGGTACCAATTCAGACTCTCCTCGAGCAGAGGTGTCCACTTCCAGCTGGGGAGTGGGAGGGTTAAATTCTCAGGCCGATACGCCTCCTCCTTCAGATATCGCAGACATCGACAACCTGGAGAACACAGACGTGGACCGGGAAGTGAAGCGACGGAAGTACGAGTGCTCCACTTGTGGCCGCAAGTTTATTCAGAAGAGCCACTGGCGCGAACACATGTACATCCACACAGGAAAGCCTTTCAAATGCAGCACTTGTGGCAAGAGCTTTTGCCGTGCCAACCAGGCAGCCCGGCACGTGTGCTTAAACCAGGGGGCCGACACATACACCATGGTGGACCGGCAGAGTATGGAGCTGTGCGCTGCAGGTGACGACAGCAACCAGATGGAGGCGATGTTTATGGGCTCATCGAAGCCTTACAAGTGTAACATTTGTGCAACTACGTTCTCTAGCCCGAATGAGGTGATCAGACATCTGTGTTTCACCCAAGGGGGATTAGTGGGGCTGCAGGGAAACTCAGGTGCAGGTGCGCTGCTCCCACGTGAAGAATTTTCCAAAGATGAAGGCTCAGATTTGTCCAACTCTGTTACCCCACTAGAACCCATAAAGACTGAGGAAATCCTCGTAGAATAGTGCCAAGGCTTGTGCTTCTGTCCTGTTTTTGAAAAAACAAACAAACAAGTGTGTTATCTAAATTATGTTCAATAGGTAAGCTAAAGGTGAAGATAGTCAGGTGACGTATGTTTGAGGCTCTCTTAAACTTTATTTTTTTAAAGGTGCAGTGTTTAGGCTCGATAAAACAATGTTTAAAGTAAATACGCTTGCTCTGTTTGGAAGAAAATCAAATACGTGACATTTGGCTTGAGGCTCGACTACCACTGTTTTGTGTTATCATTTAATTGTTAGCGCACATTGGTATTATATCTGACATGTTAGGGTGTACCACACTCTCATGAGCTACTATTGTGGTGAGGCAGTTTCTTCTCTATAAAAGGAAGAGGAAGCCGAGGCAGTTCCGGAGGAGACAGCATGTTGCAAGATGAGTTGCCTGTGCTAAATTTGTGAGAGGTGCAAAGTTCTAACAATTCCTCTGGACGTGCACAGTAGAGTCGCTTCTACATGTCCATAAATGAGAGGCTGATTTCACAGATCAGGCATAAGAATTTCCGGCTAAAAGCACACAAACCTGAGACAATCTGCGCTCTTATTTGAGTAGATTCTTAATATGCATCAAACTACATTTGTCTTCCATTAGTCTACTTGTGAGGGCTCGGCAGATTGAACACCTCGACATGTAATCATTAATTCTCAGCAACGATTTAGTTTCCTTTCTGTTCTGCGGAGTGTGGTTGAGGTTCCTGCGTCAGTCCTGTCACGCCACATTAAAGCACAATTTCTTTTCGTAATACGTGTTTGGCCACTGAGGAAAAAGTCACAGGGAACACATTTCATCTGTCTACAGTTGTGCTGCTTTGATTCGACTCATCTTTCTTGCTGTGTGTGAGTGTGTGAGACATTGTATAACTTTTTAATAACTAGGTTCTGATTTGAAGAAGCAATATGATCCATTCAGACACGCATACCTAGATGGAAGGCTGTCCTGTACAATATTTTACATCTTGTCTTTACAGTTAGCCTGGGTCATCTTCTAAAAATCCTTATAATATTTGTTTGTAACGCTTTTATTATTATTTTATATACTCTGCTATACTTACAAAGACTACATTGTATTGAAAAGATTTATGTATACTAGTTGAAAAATCGCTTTTCAAAAACACACACATAAGGATGACCGTGATAAATATCTTTCTCCAAAAATTAGGCTGTGATTTAAAAATTAGGTTTTAAGCCTCCTTAACTTGCCAACTTAGTGCTCACTGTTGATATATTTTAAAAATCATTTTGTGAAAAGGGAATTTATTTGGGAAGTTGAAGGGTTGTTTTGTTTTTTAGTTGTTTGTTTTCTATTCTTTAGTTCTGTCCACATTAGAAAAAAGTAGTGGCACCAGCAATTGTGATTCATAGAAAAACTTTGGGCTTGTTCAAGCTGACAGTGGGATATAGGAAGAGTTTTGATTAACATGAAGTTTGCAAGATATACGAAGTAACAGGGTTATGTAATTATATGGAATTATAAAATGTGCTTTTCACCAATTCTTTGGGATATCCAAACACTTTGTATGTACTACTGATGACTGGAACTTGTGAGACATCTTTTGAATAAGTGTGGAATAAATGTGAAGCTAGGAAAAGTTTTTACTCCTTACATAATTTCTCATCCTCGAATATAATAAGCTCCACTGCTGTAAATTAAATGATAAAGTTGTTAACAAGCGTATATTTTCATTTCTCTATTTCAGAACTGAACTTTATTTTAACTGTGATTAAAAATCTACTCGTAGAAATATCTTTAATTTGTTCTTCTTTTTTTTTTTTTTTTAAGTATTGCAATGAAGTCAGTGCAGGGCGACGTGTAAACATCTCTCCAAGAGGAAATTACTTGTTACAAAATTGCGTTTTTTACTTTACTTTTAATAGAATCTGTGCTTCCAAATTTCTCCAGTTTACTCCAGTTTTTCCCGTATTCTCTTTTAAAGTATTTCCATACCATTTCTCAAGAGGGTACAAAAACAGAAGCATACTGCACGTACTGTTATCTTGCTCCATGACACAGTATAGTTGTGGTGGTAGTAGAGATGAATTTAACAATTTAGAAATATGGGGAGAAACTACAACTGCCAACTAAGGCACACAAAAGTTACACTGCCCGTGTTGTAAATGCATTATTTTAGTAATTAATGAAAATGCTAAAAATGCTCATCTCTAGTGTGTTTAACATGCTTAATCTGTTGATAGAGCAGTTTTCTTTTACCCCCAGCTTAAAATTTGCTTCCATCTGTTTTTCCTTCCTGGGTAGCAGAAAGCAGTTGTTGCTTTGATGCAGTTAGCCCACCCATGAGCTAGATGGAGCTGTTTCTCCTTGCTCAGCCTGAATGAAGGGGAACGCTTTCAAACTTAAACAGTTAATTTATACCGATCTGACTGTGTGGTTGCCAATGACATAAACGACCTATTTTGCCAGGAGTTGTCTTCATGTCAAGTTTAGTTATCATAAAAGCACAAATGTCTGTGAATATGTACTAGTGCAAATGTTCAGTCTTCTAACAGGGAGCGGTTCTTGCATGACTGTCTCAAGGGAGGCAGTTGAAATGCTGTACTACTGACTTTTATTTCTCTGAGCTACATTGATGTACAGAAAAATGCACAGCTTAAAAAAAAGGAGAAAAAAAGATTAACCCTCCCCAAGGTTGAAATTGTGCTTTAGACACATCGGTCTTGTAACTGAATGGATGTGTTTGTGTGTCTCAGGAAGATGAAATTTTTTGTCTTTTCCGTTTGCTGGTTTTGAGATGATAATTTCACTGAGGACTCCCCCCAACCTAACCCATGAAACCTGACTGCAAACAATGTTAGTCCCCCCCAGTGCCCATCAGACATCTACTGTGATCAATCTGTATTCTCAGGAATGTGAGTAACTTTTGTGTATAAACTTTTTTTTTTTCTGTGAAGAAAGAACAATAAAAACATTTCTTTTTGATGATTTTGTCTTGTTTTCCCCACCAGCAGAACTTCTGGATGACACATTTTATGTCACTACTACTGATTTACCAGAAATGCATAATCATCCAAGTCCCAAGAAAGGATGTGTCATTTTCAGTGAGAAACGCTTTGTGAAACATCCAAGTGATAAAACATGTCGCTCGCTGAAAACGCCACATCCAGATGAACAGAATGAACTTTCTGGGGTTCCATTGTAGAAGATTTGAATAAGAATTTTTAACTGTAGACTTGTTACCACTGATTTTAAGTCCAGTTCTTGTGTAATTTCACAAGAAATTACACAAGAAACCCAGAAATTACTGTGGCGCCTCTGTCAGTGCGCCCCAGGGCAGCTGTGGCTACAATGTAGCTGCCATCACCAGTGTGTGAATGTGTGTGTGAATGGGTGAATGACTGAATGTAGTGTAAAGCGCTTTGGGGTCCTTAGGGACTAGAAAAGCGCTATACAAATGCAGGCCATTTGATTTGAATACTTCAGTCTTTTCTCCCAGTTTTCCTTCAAAAAGGGCTTCATGCCAGCCACCTTTTTACTAAGATCACTTCTGATAAGGCTTCAATGAACATTAGAGGGATCAACTGAAGAGCCAGATGCATGTCTCAGTCGTCTAGTTTTTATATGTAGTCTTCTTTAGTCCTCTGCTTGTCAAACATCCTCATTTTTTTAAGGACATTCTGCACACCATGCTGAGATATACCACAGTTTAGCTTATAGCTCTTTGGGAATCACCTTGTTTGTGCAAACATGCTGTTTTATGTCTGTCAAACTGTGTTATATCTGGTATTTTTCACAGATTCGGGTAAAGAAATTAGACTAAAGTGTGTGGTTTTGTGACAGGCTGCTAGTAAAGTGTCTAAAGATGGAGTTTAAACTTGGTTCTTTGCCAAGTTGTCTGTTATGCCCCTTTATGATTGAATGATTGGTGGTTACTGTAAGTGGTTTGCTTAACAAACTAACTAAACCTGTGGACCTAGAATCCAGTGATCTGAATTCAAAAATTGGTGAGACCTGCTTTTTGGAGGTGAAACCATTTGGCATGTCTTCTCTGGCACACCAGAACTGTGCTACAATTGTGTTTTCAGTGAGAGGTGTATAAAATCAAGCAGATAACCATGACCTCTACTTATTTCAGAATATCCCTCTACCAGTACCTGTAGGTCTTTTTCTTAACTTAAAGAAAATTATTACCAATTTTATTTGGCAAAATCATCGCCATCGGCTTCGGTTAACTTTATTATATCTGCCATTTGACAGGGATGGGCTTAAGGGTCCTAACTTTCAGTGGTACTATTGGGCTGCACAATTGCGCATGAGGATATACTATTTCTCATCTGATCCACCTCCGGCATGGGTTTAGATGGAACCAGTCTTACTTAATTCAGAATACTTTTTGGCAGGTTGCCACGACCTGACAGTATGAACACTGCAGCAGGGGTTCCATGGTGTAATGGTTAGCACTCTGGACTCTGAATCCAGCGATCTGAGTTCAAATCTCGGTGGGACCTGATATTTGCGAGGTGAAACCATACTACATGTCTTCTCTGGCACTTTGAATTTCTGTATGAATTGTGTTTTCAGTGAACGCCGTATAAAATCAAGCAGCTAACCATGACGTCTGCCTTTACAAAACACTTGTCAATCACTAAAGAGTAGTACTAAAGAGCTGTGTGAAATTCAGTTGCACACCACACAAAGTTACAGAGTAAAAGTCAACAACTGTACAGCACTAAACCTCCTCTGTCTTTAACATCAAAAAACAAACAAACATGAGCATCGTGGTATGGGTTTCCATGGCTTTTGGTTTTGTGAAGTATAATATTTATGTCTTCCAAAGTAAAGTTTTAAGCCCCACTTGTTTTAAATCTGTAACATGTGTAACAGCAGCATGCCATGAAAATTTGATGATAACACGTGCATGTTTATGGTCGCCAAACAATTATGTATGTAAACAACACTTATCTGACTAAACTACGTTGAGCTAATGCAGATTTTATTCTTATTTTATTGGTGAGGAGAGAGGATGGAACCAAAAATGCATTTATCCCCGTGTTCTGTGTTGATGAAAATCACCCAACAGGAAAGCAGCTGGGCATTCATTTGAAACCAGTTCACAGGTTGGGCTGTGGTTCCCCCTCTAGCGTCTCTGCTTGAACTTTCAACTGTGAACCTCTCAGATCCAACCTTCCCAACTGCTCATCTCGCAAAAGACAAAATGGAAGAACCCAGAATGTCTTTTTATACCTGATCACGCTTTTTCACGCTTCCCTCACAGGACGTCACATTTCACACTTTGGCCATCCAATCAAGTTGTTGACATCTAATCATTCCTGTCCACCCACACCTGATCTTTCTATTTCGATCTGACTTACAACATTTAACACAAACTTTTAAATCAATATATTTTCTTTGTAATTATTTTTTATTTGTTTTTGTTTATTACATGCACTTAACATACAAGTATATCGAATGGAAATCAGCAACTGCACGGGATTATTCAACTAGTGGGCTGTCACAATGTGTTAGGATGGCCGAGCGGTCTAAGGCGCTGTGTTCAGGTTGCAGTCTCACCTGGAGGCCTGGGTTTGAATCCCACTTCTGACAATTGTTTCTTTGCACTTCTTTCTTACTGATACTCATGGGTCTTTGATCAGTGGTTGTTGATCAATGGTCATGAGAATTTGCATAATCATGATGAAGGAACTGACCTCCAAGCCCACTGTTCCTTCAGGGGACTGGTTTCAGTCATTATGCAAATATACAAGTTAATATATAAGTTTATAAGATTGGGGAAACCTGCAGTCAGCAGAGACTGAAGAAGTCACTTGGATGAGTGACGAGACGTTTCTCCCACTGAAAACGCTACGTCCAGATGAACAGAATCAACCTTTGGAGACTTCTTACTGTTGTGACAAAATACACTTGAAACTGGCAACTATGAGAGTTGTGCACTGTTCATCCCTGACAGCAGTGGATTTTGTAATCATGCAGAATGTAACAACATTCTAGATAATTGTAATAAAATTCACTAGAGGGTGGATTTGTTCACACTGACACTGATGTGCTAAAAACCAGATTTTGTGAAGTCATAACTTTCAGCAAGTTGAAACAATCTTTATCTTTTACTCCAACTATCCCAAAATAAGGACTGGTCCTTCCCATGTGATGGTATGAAAATATGAAAGGCTGTCATCATTTCAGATGTTTACTGTGTAAATGTTTGTTTGTTTGAATGTTTTTTTGTCTCTCTTTTTTTTTGTTTTTTTACCTTGCCTTGCTTGGTATCATTCTTTTCAGCACAACCTCACGTGTCTGAATTTACAGTTATTTTTTCATTGACATACTGTATTAACACAACTGATCTGAAATCACACAAAAACATAAAATCCTAGTAGTAGTTATATTTTCTTCTTACTGTAAAAACCACAGACATGTGACATTAAAAATTCCAAACAGCACCTGATATCATCTTATACATTCAATTCATGTTGTTGTCACAGAATTGATATGTCAGGTATACCTGACTCTACATCCCACAGAAGCCTCATCAGCCCTTCTTTGTCTTTTTCATTCACTTCAAATATTACATTTCTGCCATAACCTCGATAACAGCAGCTGTCTGGAATTTTTACCGTC